CTGGGCAGCTGGTACATAATTGAATAAAGTTGTTTAAACATTTGGTCTGATATTTCATTGGTGGTAATGTCCAGGTTCACTGATGAGGAGTGGAAGTCTCCGAAATTAGTCTGGCTCACAAACACACCCCCAATGAAAGAATAGACAATTCCAAGCTTTTACTTGTTGCTAAGCGAACGTTTAAACAACTTTATTCAATTACAAACAACTATTATTTTAAGACAACATTCCCAGTTTTATGAAAGCAATCCTAATGTAATTGACATTTACTGTCATCAATAATATGTTTTTTTTGCTATGCTGCATACTGCTTGTATCCATTTTTGCAGAAAATATCTAACAACCCCCCCCTCCAAAAATAAGAAAATAAAATAAAACAAGAAAAATAGACGTCAAATGAAAATAAAAATAATTTTCTCACCTCTGTGTATGACCAATCTGGAGAGTAGTCATTGATAGACACCACATGATCGTGTTTATGGTGTGGTAACTCCATCTGCGAAGAGCAACTAAAGGCTGGAAATGAAGAAGATGCTGTTGTAATGATGGAGGAACCATTTCCTGCTGTGTGCTTGGAATTAGGACTGACTAGAGTATTGAAATCAGTTAACGTATGGAGTGAATTGTATTGGAAAACGTCGTCAATGTGGCTAATAGGAAGGTCACTGTCCGAAATATCCATAGGGGTTACGTCAAAATTGTTAACATCACCGAGTGTTTGGATATCCATCTCTTTTGGAAACGTTTCTGTCGTCGATTCTTGAGAAGACAAGAATACGTTTTGAGGCTCATGTTTAGATTTACGTCGATTAGAGGCAATTTTACCAGACGAAACTGTTTGGTCACCTCTGTGATGAACAGTTCCAGTAGGATGAGCCTCAGAACTAGGTGTAAAGAAAGCAATGGAGTTAAGAAAATCTTGGGAATCAAGACTAATTGAATTCGTTGTAAGTTTAGGTGATACAATATTTAGAAAGGACTCTCTCCCAGGAAGCTCATTATGAAAACGTGCTGGAGTAGAAACATTACTTGCATGCTGTTTACTGGTTCTGTTATCATCCGATGACCTTTTTGAGCCCAATTGTAATCCTAAAAAGGCTGTTTTACTTTTTGGTTCTGTTTTCAGTGGTGCTCTTGGCACAGTTATATTTGAATTCTGTCCAAAATTTGACAGAATATTTGTTGTACGTAATCCTAATTCACTGACAGTTGTAGAGCTGTGAGATTGAGCGAGTCTCACACCTGAACCTGCTGTTGTAGTTTTTTGAGCAGGAGTAAGTTTCAATCTGGATTGTACTGTTGTCGTGTTTAAGGCGGATGAAAGTGTCAGTTCAGTAGCAGCAGTTGTATTTTGAGTGGGAGTGAGGCCCAAACCTGTAACATCCGTTGTCGTGTTTTGGACAGAAGTAAATTCTAAACACGTAACAGCAGCCTCGTTATTAGCAGATGGGGTAAGTTCAAGTGCTGTAACACCAGTCGTAGTATTTAGAGTGGACGTAGTTCCTAACGTCGTGATAGTAGTAGTTGTATTATGAGTGGGAGAAATATCTATACCAGTGATCGGAGTTGTGACATCCATAGCTGGAGTAAGACCTAGTCCTGTAACAGTCCCTGTATTATTTAAGATTAACAAACCTCCACCACCTTGTATTTGTGAAAGACTTAGTATAACAGATGTTGGAGAAGTACTGACAAAGTGTGAAGACGTAGATGTCGCTACTGTGGACTTTTCTTGAGCTGACCGGTAAGAGGATGTTATTTTGAGACTGTTAGGTCGTCCAGTTCTGGTTGTAATTACGCCCATCTTCTGGACCTTTGGTTGGAATTTTGGCACGTCTTCCTGAGCTGCCAGTTTCGATGTTGAACGGTCACTGGTTACGTTACCAGAAGTTGACCGAGGGATAACGGCCTGATTATTCTGGACTGACCGTTTTTCCTTACCTGTAACCGGACATATGGCTAATTTCAAAGAAATGTTCCTATCTCGACTGTTTCTTTGTTGGCTGTTTAGAACTGTTTCAATCTGGTGTTTCTCCATTAACTGTTGAACTATTCCTTCCACAGTTGAGTCCGTCTAATAGTGAAAATTGCAAATGGTAATAATTTTGAAAATGTTTAGGAATCTACTTAGGAATAATTTTAATTCTGCGTTTCATATTTCATTGAAGTAAGTATATCACTAAGTAGTCTGGTAATGTTGTTATTAATTAAAATTAAATATATTTATTACAATATACTTTTTTTGGTACCACCCTACCCTTGATAAAGTATTTAAACACTTCAATTATCCGATCCTGCAAATATCAGTTGCTAGTAGCGTAAATTTATTATTACTTTACTAATACATTTATTTTATCTCATGTGAGCCAACTATCTTTCGGTAACAGCAGCAACAACGAATAGAGCGAGTAATGTTTTGTGTTTTTTATTTTTTATTTTCTGAATGTCAAGCTACACAATGGACTTTGTATAACACAGGGAATCGAACCATGAATTTTAGCATTGTAAGTCCGTAAATTTACCCCTGATCCATCTAGGGAGGATAAATGATGAGACTGGACGAGTTACATGGATTTTAGCATTGTAAGTCCGAAAATTTACCCCTGATCCACCGAGAGAGGATAAATGATGAGACTGGACGAGTTTCGCGCTATGTTTAATGTTTCTAAAAAATAAATTTAAAAACAAACAAACAGGGAGCTATACAATAGGTTATTTAGGGTCTCTCCACCACAGGGAATCGATACATGGATTTTAGCGTTGTAAGTCCATAAAATTACCACTGACTCGTAGAAGGATCTCTAATATTTCTATCGATCGAGAGATTTTTTAGAGCTTTCCTGCCATTATTTGGCAAGACAAAACTGTCAGGTTGTTATGCAAATGGATAAAAGAAAGAAAAAAAAGTTCCTTGCTTATTTTTATCAGTATAGATACATGTTTGTAGTTTTCTGTACGCTACGGGATCAATAGCCTGTGAATCTCATTAAAATCGGGAAAATCCAGCAGATGAGATTGGTTAAATCACATAAACTCTCGTGATATGTCTCACGCTTTTCTGATGCGCAACCTTTGTTGGATGCTTTTACCATTACGAATATAATGCATGGGCTTACAGACTACAGTTGTTATTGCTACTAAGTGATTAACAATACTAATAAGCTTCTGCTAGTAGTAGCTTACAACAACAGGACGGGTGTTTTGATAGCAGTTTCGATAATTTATAATAATAATACTGGTTTAAAGCAAATTACTGTCAAAATACTTGTATTCAAGGAAGATTTAGTAAACATAAACCTCCTCGAATATAGTATAAAACTTTATAATTAAGGCTTTTGTTGCTTGAAATGTTTCAGTTTTCACTCACCATTGTCTGTATGCTTATCCAGTTTTAGAACGTCATTATAAGTGAGGGGGGGGGGAAGATGGCTTAAATTGGTAATGAAGAAAACTTTCATAAATATTATAAACCTAGACCGACACCCAGTTCTGTTAATTTCGTCACAAAAAGTTACAGATAATTCACACAACAGGAAACAAATTTGGTGTACCGTTCGGTGTTCTACATTAACTATTAAAGAAACTTTGATCATAAGTAAGCTAATTATACAGATTAGAACTCCAGTAATATGTAAAAGTAAAAATTAAATAAAACAAGTTGTCCAGAACTGGTTAATGTAATAAGTTAAAAGAGAAACTAAAATCTGTAGTGATTAGACTATATTCAATTTTCACTTAGGTGGTCTCACTGTTAACGACATTTTCGGCTGTCATCCCAAAAATACCTCACGAGGTTGGGCCAAATTATGAAATTGAATTTATTTTTGAATATACACACTAAATCAACAAAGCAAAATACTCTTCACAAGTGTAATCATAATTAGATATACATTTGAATAATCTTAAGCATTTAATTAATAAGATTTTGTGAAATGTTACACAAATAAATTGCTTATTACATAAAACAATAGAAATACTTCATATTTTTGCTATTTAGATCCATAGAGATTACAAATGTAAAAAACTTGGATATATTTATAAAACTTCATGTGTGCAATAATGCAAATCCGACATCATGAAGTGGTGGATGTTAGAAAAAATTGCTAAAATTCATAGACAAATGCATACTGGTCACTTATTTGGAGAATAACAAGTTGACTTGACCACCTATTTTCTTAGGTTTAAAATATTCTGTGGGATAGGTTCTCAAATATAGTTTAAATATGAGCTTATCGTTCTTAATAAAATATACTAGAACCGTCTTCACTTTTATACGTAACTAATTCTACTACTGGAAGACCACGAATCTGCTGCTAACGTAAAGATATTTAAAACATTTTTCAAAATTGTAGATTTGAAATAGTCAACTTACCACAGTGTCGAAGTGATCTGATTCCTCACTTGTATGAACTACAAAACAATATTTTAAACAAAATTAAAATTTTTGGTCGCTTTTCATCAACATGTCAGGCTACAAAGATCACATTAAAATACAAACTTCGTAAGTAAGGCTTAAAATTCGAGATTTGATAACGTTAAATGTATTAACAACACGGGCGCACTGTGCAGTAGTATATTAACAGACAAATATAAAAATTGTGATTGAATAGTTATATATATATATATATATATATTGCTATATGTTATATTAACAACACCGGTACACTGTGTAGTAGTAGTAGTATGTTAACAGACAAAAATAAACTCAATTGTGATTGAATAGTTTTATATATTGCTATATGTTATACTAACAACACCGGTACACTGTGTAGTAGTAGTAGTATGTTAACAGACAAAAATAAACTCAATTGTGATTGAATAGTTTTATATATTGTTATATGTTATACTAACAACACGGGCACATTGTGTAGTAGTACGTTAACAAACAAAACTAAACTCAATTGTGATTGAATGTATATATATATATATTGCTATATGTTAATTCTTACCTGTGCTATTATGTAGGGATGATGCAAATGCCATCCCTACAATCTTGTTTGCATTGTTTCTGAAGGATTGATATTAGACATCCTTACATTTACTTCCTTTTTTGAAGATTTATAATGGACATAGGAATGTTTATTTATAACCAAGTTCTAAATACAATGAGGTTCCAACTGTAAGATTTATAATTTATCTATTATTGGCTGGCAATTCCTTTTTCACCCTGTACTTAAGCTTTTTCAAAGAACACAAAATTGTTATAAATAAGCTAACTTCAAGGGGTAATGATAACATCGCTTACACTAGAAATATGATTTTTTTTAAATTACTACTAGTTAATAATACTTATGAAAGCGAATACTCCGTTTGAAACTATGTCACCTCAATGAATTTGGATGGCACCATTGTTTTGGTTTCTGAGTTATCATGTAATAAAAAAGAATAAGAAATTCAAACTTCTTGTTATGATATTTACAGACATTTCCAGAAATTGTGACTCACTCATTACATAGATATTGTTATAAAAAGAAACACTGTATAGTATTGTAATATTGAGGAGATATTTAAAATACCATTTCGATGAACAACCCGAGCCATCCCTATATAGGCAGTGCTACTGCCTGCCTGACAATAAAGGAATTTTTCAAGAATACGATTTCTTTATATAATAATGAATTGTATAAATAGTTATATTTTTTTTATTAGTTATAACTGAAAGTTAAGTTAATTTGATTTTGGGCTACTAAGGTATAAATGTTATCAGGTGGTTTGTACATCTAAAGCTAGTAATAAAACCTAATCTCAGCCTATTTCTATCACTTGAGTACTAAATGAAACTATTTACTTAGTCTTTGCATACAAATTACATTAAGTGTTACATATATATCAATTTTATAGATGGCGCTACTTACACATCGGTTTTAGCTGCGAAACCAGTTCTTCTTTAGTCCATTTTTTACTCTCGGCACATTGGCTTAATGCTGCTGAAGTAACCATTTTGGATTCGTCCGCACTTGGTACATTGAGATAATGAACTAAAACGATATCAGGGTTCTGGAAAGACGAGGAGATTTTTTTTTATTCTTATCATCAGCTCAATATTCAATTCTCACAAAACAAATGTAACACTGTTGAATAATAATCACCAAAACAGAAACCAAAATTCAAGAAGATAGCGAGAAGTCACAATTTTTCTGAGGAAGTCAAAAATGAAGACGGGACGTAATCGAATCTGCAACTATGCTTAATGGTCAGATATTTTACCAACCACACTACTACGCCTCGATTACTGCAAATCTTATTTTACAAATCATTAGTTATTAAGAAGGGAAGTTGGAAGGACCAGTGAGCTTCGGCATTCCGAGATTCACTAATTTACTCACGAGTAGTCGGGTACGAGGCATGAAATAACTGGAGGTTCGCTAAAAATGTTTTATGAAACATAATATGAATCTTCTTAACCACAAGGGTGTGGAGCAAAAAAGAAAAAAGGAGACTGGACACAGTGAAACAATCGTTATTTCTGTCACTAACAAAAATAATTAGATCTTTTAAGAATACATTAATCAGTATGCATTTCAATCACATCTATTTTTTGCTAATATCTTGCCACTTGTTCCAGACTGAGAAAATATGGAATTAGATATGCCATTTTACTCAGGGCATAAGCGCCATCCACGTGATTGAAGATTACTCTCACTGCAAAACAAGGGATGTTGTATCCCTATAGCATCACCTGACTTGCCAGTAGGAAAGGTTACTATCGCTTTCTATAGAATATGAGCCGTGTTACACCAATCTTTTGTATGAAAAAAGTACATGTGATACCCTAATTGAACGACATAGTTTAATGAGTAACTAGGGTGAGAGTAATTTAGTAGATCTCTTGACCGACTTTTTATATTAAGAACGCATGCTCAAAATGTACGGAAAATTTCATATATTAACTAAAGGGGATAGAAGACATAAGATAAACTTGCATATCACAGAGATTTGCCAATCAATATGTAGAACTCAGAATCTGCTGATTGCCAAAAAAATTCAATTTTATGGGTCTGTGTGAGCCACCTTTAAACATTTAAAAAGAGTTAAAAAATTGAGAGCCATGTTACTGATTATTATTATTTTATTTATATGTGTTATCAAGAAATGCGTTAATTTTCACTGATTTCAATAAAACCTGTAATATTACAAACAACTATAAAGGACCACTTTCATACATTGTCAATGAAGAATTTAGCCACAATTGAATACAACAACATAATCAATATTTCTTAAATATTTTAATTATTGGAAACCAACAATATATTTTTAGTTTTCCAGATTTATCTAGCTTCTTTGTCTTGTGCATGTTTCATATCTTTCGCTTAGACTAAATTATTAGTTACATTACGCTAGCAATAAACAAGGGATGATCCCTGTATAGACCGTAGTAAAAAGATTCTATGATTTTCCTTTCTTTCACAGAATAAACCAAATTACCGATGTATTATACATAAAACAACATTAATCATGGTTGAACTTCCCTTACGTTTATTCGCGGAAATTTTGCATTTTCTGAGAAAGTTATTAACTATGTACTCGCATAGTTTAAATAATTACAACTTATTTTGATGTTTTTTTTTAAATTAGTTATTGAAATCAGTTTTAACAGTAACATATATATCTGCTCTGTAGTAAAAATATTTATATGAATACAGTAGAAAATAATACGCTCCAATTTAAACTTCATTTTCACTTACCTCAAGCAACCAGTAACACCTCCGGTGAAATGTGGGAAGAACAGCAGAGTGAACGTAGCAACCATAGATACACTGAAAAAAATGACAACCTTGTAAGTAGGTGCCGAGTTTTGTATATTATAGTTGTTATTTGCATGTAATTTGGTGTAAGGTGTTGTCTAGTTCTGTAACCATTTTTCGTTAGAAATTACAAAGGCATGAAATTTGGCGTTAGCTCTGGTGTCGAGTTATGTACTAATTTTGTGTTACAAATGTTACAAACATGAAACTTGGCGTTACAAACTCGACGTTATTCGAAGTTGAGTTTTGTACTAGTTTCGGGTTACAGATATTAGTTAGTTATGTGGTACAGATGTAAACACACTAACCAAAAGTAGGTAAACACAAGGTCGGTTCAAGAACAGTCAATTTATGTCGGTATATATCTGTAATTTTGTGAATAACAACGTCAGACTAAAATCAAAGTGACCCGTCTACTAAAAACTGACTGACCTCCATTCCTTGAACCTTCAGTTTCATGTGATCTTCTCTCGTGGTCTTGCCGTCCTTTCGTTTCTTCCAACAGTATCCATCCCTTCTATAGCGGACGCGCTTTCTGCTGTAGAGGAGCATGGTTCCACTTTGGGGTCTGGAAGACGTGGGGTGAAAAGATCAACAGTGAAGAAACTTTGACAGTAAATGTTCTTTTCCTTCTAATACAAGTTATATTCTACTACCTTTACGACCCCAAACTTATTTTTTTTTATCAACAGTGAAGAAACTTTGACAGTAAATGTTCTTTTCCTTCTAATACAAGTTATATTCTACTACCTTTACGACCTCAAACTTATTTTTTTTATCAACATTGAAGAAACTTTGACAGTAAATGTTCTTTTCCTTCTACTACAAGTTATATTCTACTACCTTTACGACCCTAAACTTATTTTTTTTTATCAACAGTG